TGTGTGTGTGTGTGTGTGTGTGCGCGCTTACATGTATTTCAAAGCCCTGACTCTTTTCCCTTACAGGGGGACACCCCAACTGCCATCTTAAGACACTTCCCCATCTTTACTGGAATGTCTGCAGGATTAAAAACACAATTGAATCCTTCCATCATGAAAAAGTTCCTTCCACCGGCAGAGGAAAAAGGGCACTTTGGCATTAAATAGGCTGGAACAAGTTGAACCAGCTTTGCAGAGACTAAAACATATTTCAAATTCACCCATTTAGTAAGCGCAGCCCTCCAGGCTCCGTTACGCCCTCTGGGGCGCCCGTAGGGGTGTGAACCCCCCTTCGTTCGGAGCTCCAAACTCGGGAGGTACCGCTGTGGCATAAACCGGAAACCGGAAGTCTAAAATAAATAAATAAATAAATACTCTGGTTTCTCTTCAGATCGCATAAGTCTTTAAAAAAATAGTATCGTGTGGGGTTTTTTTAGAATGCAAAATATATATTTAAATTTTTTATATATATAAAATCCTCTCCGGTCATTGTTGGTTTAGCAGTGTAGTGAATGCAGCAAACAGGAATATATTTATAAAAAACTAGAACACACAAATAGATTAGTCCTATCGCATCATAATCCTATAGTGCTACTTCTTTTCAGTAATATTACAGTTTTACAAGGATAAAGTACTACGCTCTTATAACTCTTATAAGTGTTTTTAGTGCTATTTAAAAGATAGATTTAAAAAAATGAACAGGTGATAAAAATTGTACCCACTGCAGAGGATTTGGTGAATCTGTGCTCATCTGTGATTGCTCAACTGTCTATGAAGCCATTAGCCATTTCTATTTTTATTAAGATGGAAATGTTGAGATATGCTGAGATACGGGCAGGGATGTTGACTAAATATGGAAGCATGTAAACACAGGTGCAGGAAAGTGGCCAGCTTCCAGACCATACCGCCATTGCTGCTGCAGTTCCTTAGATTTTGCTGACCACTATGAACAGAGCAAGATGATGTTTTGAGATAAAAACCCACATGCCATCAGTACAGGAGTGTCTTGTTTATCCCTCTCCTTCAAGGATGAGGATAACCAAGCCAGCCCTCTGGAAGAGAACCATATGCTCCAGCTTTGCATTTAGCATCTCTTTCTGTTTCGCATTACCATTGTCTAGCCACGGTAAATAAGGAGGACATGGAACAGAGACTTTTCCTGGAGGTGAATGGGGCCAGCAGACAAAGTTATCAAAAGTCCCGTTGCAATATATTCCTGAGAAAAAGAGAGAAAGAGAGAGAAAAAGAGGGGAGGAAACAAATCAACATTAAATTTGACATGCATTTGATCACCAAGTAATGCAGTGTGTCTAACACAAGGTAAAGGTTCCCCTTGACATTTAGTCCAGTCATGTCCGACTCTAGGGCACAGTGCTCATCCCTGTCTCCAAGCCGTAGAGCCAGCGTTTGTCCATAGACAGTTTCCGTGGTCATGTGGCCAGCACAATTTAGACACTGAACGGTGTTACCTTCCCACCGAGGTGGTACCTAATTATCTACTCGCATTTGCATGCTTGCGAACCACTAGGTTGGCAGGAGCTGGGACAAGTAACGGGAACTGACTCTGTCGCGTGGATTCAATCTTACAGCTGCAGATCTATAGACCTCACAGCACAGAGGCTTCTGTGGTTTAACCCACAGCGCCACCACGTCCCCCTTGTCTAACACAAGCCATACTGTAATTATATCTATAAAAGATACCTCTATATATTTGGTAACACTTATGTTAAATTAATATCTGTAGCAAAATTTACCATCTGATCACGAGCCATGCATGAAGTAGGTTGAGATGCTACTATAACTTTTTTCAACAAACATAACTGAATTGGGTGTCACCTAATATAAAACTGTCCCAATTTTCTTTTCTCCTCCTCTGAGTGCTGATCGTGAGATACTTTTTGGTGATGCTACTTAGCGGCTTACACAAAGCACACTACCTGTTCCTGCATCACATTGTGAGCAATGCCTCAGGTCAGAACGTTAGGCACACAGATAGATGGTGATTCGGGATGTTTTATGGGCCTCCCCTTCCTGCGTCTATGCTGGATGTAGACCAGATATATCTTGCCATTCCAGAATCTGCACACATTATAGCCCTTGCAGACATGTCTGCCAAAATGTGAACACTTTAAAAATATGCATGTTTCAGACATGCACAAAATATAGCATAGGTGTATTTTCATCAGTGGGGGTAATGCTTGCTATCAACACAATGCAATCAAGTTGAAATATCTGACAAAAATTCACAGTTTAAAAAAAAATACAGATTCCAGCCCTAATTGGACAGATTCAGACACTGACCAGATGCAGTGGTTGGAAAGGAGAATAATTGTGGATTTTGACTTTATAGATGTTTTTATCTTAAATGCTAATTTATACCTACAGTACTTAAATGAAAGGAATCCAGTTTTTTATAACCTATCTTTACATCAAGGTTCTTACAAACAAGGAATGCAAAATGGGGGGAAATAGAACTAACGAAGTGAAGTTACTGAAACCAGCAATCACACTGATTATCATCTTAAACATGACATACATTTTCTCTACATGCTAACAGGAAATGAATTTAAGTGAGCAAGAGGAAACAAATCTAAGATGTTCTTAGGAGGCCAAATGGCTAATCAAAAGGTTCAGAAACGACTACTCATCAAAATAATGATGATAGCAATCATAAAATAACTCAGTAGGTTTTTGTACTTTATTAAGATATGAACACATTTTATGATTATCATCTTGCCTGAGTTATATTATCTTTGCCATGAGTCAACAGGAAATGAATGAAGATGAGAGAGAGAAGTTCAAAAACAACAACAGCATTCACATAAACCATTTTCGAGTTTGACCTGCAAAGCAAGACAAGTGTGAATTCACTCATGAAGTCATACCTGGGGATCTGAGTTTCCCTGGGTAAATTTGAGTTAAGTGGCCACACAGGGAGAGACGAAGATATTGAATAACAGTCTTGTTTGCAATTTGTTAATGTAGCTCTTCAGTAGCCCTCATGATTTGCAAGAGGAGAACTACCTCATTAAGTTGAAAACAAGGGATGAGTGGCAATTTCCTCCTTTCTCTCTGTGTGTCTCTCTCTTTTTTGGTGTCTAAGGACCCTAGAGCAACAGTACTGGCACCAAGCTTTTTTAAAAGGCACTATTCAGCCCAGAAAGCATTGGTGGAGAATGGAGTCTACTCAGGATTACACTTTTCTGCATTGATCCAAGTGGTCACAATATCTCAATCAATGTGACTGGATTTGCTGTGTAAAAAAGTAGAAGCCTTGGTGATAGAGGAAAAAACTATGGATTTGCAGGGTGGGGGAAAACTCTGGGCTGCTTTGCATTTGTTTTTATACTATGTTGTTAATTGGGGGGAGGTAAATCAGACTGTTCTCATCCCATTGCATTTCCCTTCTTTTGTGACAGTATAATTGCACCCTTGATTCAAGCCTGAAATTTAGGAGTCAAATCCTAAAAATTTGCAGTTGTGGTAACATGTTTGCAAAATCACTGATTTTTTTGGATTTCAAGACACGAATTAGAAGCTCTTGGTGCTTGCTCTAGGATTACTCCAGCTGCTGAAATTAGCATGGGGAGGAGGAAATTACTTGATCGTGCATTCATATTATTTTTTCACCTTAATGTTTGGCACTTTGCCATTTTTGTGTTTTCTAGCCTTCTGAGATCACTTGCGGTGATGATGATGATGATGATGATGATGATGATGATGATGATGATGATGATGATTACCAACAACAACAACAACAACAACAGGAGCAATTGTGGTTTAGACTGCTATGTTTACATCACATGCTAATTCATAGTTTTTGTATCTATTTAGGATTGGGGCAGCTCTGGTGATTAAGTAGTATGGCTCGTTTGCTTCCATGTGCTTCGTATGTTGCCACATCCAGGATCTGTTCTAGTCACAGGAAACAACTTTGAAATAAAATTAACTCTTGCTAGAGCCATGCAAAAGATTGGTTTCAAAATCTCCTGATTTCTAGCTACCAGCTATATACTGTAATACAGTGGTGCCTTGACTTACGAGCATCCCTACCTACAACCATTTCAAGTTATGACCAGCTCCGGCTACAGTATTAGTATTAGTATTAGTAGTAGTAGCAGCAGTAGTAGTGCAGTAGCAGCAGTACTAGTAGCAGCAGCATTCAGTTCATATCACAGAATACAGACCATGTTACAGATTAACCACCAAGGAAACAATGGTTTGGTTGGAATTATACAGTATTGTTAAATCTGTTTGGTTGGCAAAGGAAGACCTTAGGCAAGCCACTAATTTAGACATATGCCACGCAGCTGGCAGAAAAAGGCTTCCCCTTCCTCTATGAGAGCCACTCTGTACCTTTGCTGCCTGGGGAACTTTCTTTCTTTCTTTCTTTCTTTCTTTCTTTCTTTCTTTCTTTCTTTCTTTCTTTCTTTCTTTCTTTCTTTCTTTCTCCCCACAGAGCACTGTTGTCAAAGGGGGAGAAGAGAGAGAGAAAGACACACACACACTGAGTATGATGTAGTTGGATATGCAGGAAAGGGGGGATAGAAGAGCCCATGAAGAGCTACGCTGGATCAAATCAACAGCTTATCAAATTAAGAAACCAGTGCTCGCAGTGGACATGTGAGAAGCCTGCCAGACGTCCTGCTAAATGGAAGTCTGCCAGAACAGCACCCTCCTGTTTCCGAACTGCTGATATACTGTATACAGAGTTACAGAATCAGAAGAAAGAAATTATTGTGGTCAGATGAAGGAAGAAGCAAAGAGAAAGTACTGTTAGAGGAAAGTCCAACAGGATTTATGGAATAACAAATTGCCATCCCACTGCTTTTCCCCCCTGCCTGATCAAAACTTTACATTCTAGCACACATGTGATCTGGCAGGCTGTTGATATTTATGCCTGGAGACTTTATTTTTAGATGGTTTATATTCTCTGTGCCTGTCATTTAAAAATCCCTGCCATTTGATTTTACGGTTTGTGCCTGTTGTGCGCAGCCCCGAGTGATCAAAATGCTTTGGAAAGGAGTCTGTAAGTCATTTAAACAATTAAATAGACAGATCCAACTGGGTTTATGGACAAGAGGGGCTCCTTGTCCCAGAGGTAAGTGAGTAGACCTTTGTCATTTGAGGAGCTGTGGGATTGATGGGGTGGCAATGCTAAGCCATGTACGTGATTCTGAAGAAACTTCAGCTTAATCAGAGGTCAGAGACAGAGAGTGGAGAGATTCAATCCAACTCATTAAACATGTCAGAAAGGCCACATTCCATCATGTGTTAACCACCCCGAGGTTGTGTGCGCTCTGTCACACTGTCAGCGTCCGTAAGTCTCCCACATAAAATGATTCCGCCAAAGTGGAAAGAGAAGACAAAACTGCAGCTTTTGCAAGGGCACAGAGCAACTCAGTATTTTCCATGAACTTCGGTGTAGGGGTGAACAGTGTCTTGTGCTGATCCTCCTTTATCGTTAAGGATCTTTAGAAAGCAACCCTGGGAATTTTGGCTTATTCCTCGCTTCCCATTTCTGGAGCCCTGTTTCTGAACCATAAAATACTATATGCAATGAAACAGACAACCCCTAGATCCGCACTTTTTCCAATCTAAGGTCACTCTCAGTATTGCAAATACAACTTGATTGCACATTGTGGCTGATGAAATTCAAAGCAAAGCAAAATTGTGCTCTTATATACTGCCTCATAGTGGTTAAAGCACTCGCTAAGTGTTTTTCCAATTTTATTTATGCAGGCTACACATTGCCCCCTCTCCAGCCAGCTGGGTACTCAGTTTACCAAACTGAGAAGGATGGAAAGCTGAGTCAACCTTGAGGCAGCCACCTAAGCCCAGGATCAAACTGAGGTCTGAGCAGAGTCTTGATGGCAGTACTGCAGTTTAACCACTGTGCTATGAAGTATCCCCCCAAAATATAAGAGAATTGACCCAGAGACTTATTTGTGCCTGTTTGGAACCTTTCCTGACATGCCACTACACTCCAGCTCTTTAAAAGGATTTCAATGCCAGTAAATACCATTTGAAGGAAGAATGCAATTAAGATCTGGTCACTCAATTCTAATATTTAAAATTGCACGCCATCAATGCTAAGATTTGTTTTTTTGATTGGTATGACTATTACCTCTGACGTTTTGAAGCTGGAGTAACATATTACTCCCCAAAAAGACAACCGCAGACACAGTTCTCTTCTCTCCTTCAGTAGCATCAAGGATAGAGAAGGAACAAATTCGAGTCCTCCAGCAATGATAAGGCTGAGGAACTGGAGACTCCAAAGCCTAATGGGGTGGAGGATCTGCTTGGCCCTAGAGATCCTCGACTCAGCAGCTTGAACATATGGACGATGGGGGCTCAGGAACTGAGTCCAAGGAGGAGGTGGGATGACCTCCCAGCCCCTGAGAGTGAAGAAGGCTGAGGTCATAAGCCTCGTTTAAAGACCCAAGTCAGAATGCTTGGCTGCAGGGGAGGTTTCTTTGTGAGTAGGTGGTCTTCTCACAAGTGGGCTGTTCCTACCAGTGGGACCCAGGGGCCAAATCCTACAGCTGGGTCTTTCCCTTGCTGCCTGAACACCTACAGCTGTCTGCTGGGTGGGGATCCAGCAGTGCATGTAGAAAACCACCTTCAGTGGGCTCTGTAAGTTGCTCATTGAACAGCTTTTGCTTTATCTGCTTGAAACCTTTAGTCTGGACCTATGACCATTTGGGCTGCTTCTGGGACTATGGCTTTGGATTACCCTGCCTGTGTGTTTGCTTTGGTGAGCTGGACAGTTTTTGCTTCTCCTGCTTCATCCTTTCCTTGGTCTGACACTTTATCAGCCAGCAGCTTCATTTGCCTCACCCAGTGTGGAACAGGGCATTTATTGTCCCACCACAGGTTCCTCAGCCCATGCTCAAAACAATGCACCCAAGTATAGACTTCACAGTGCTGCGTGTCACCCCCACCTCAGAAATTTTCTCTGGTTGCTCCTGGTGGAGAAATGACAGCTTCTCTATTGCCAGGGTGCAGGGGAATTTAATAGAGTTTAAGGGCAAAGGGCAGTTTACACGAATAGTTCCTCTTTTCAATATAGTTATGTAATGCAAGTTGTACTGTAATTCTGATCTGAAAACATAAAAACAAAGTTCTGTTTTAATTGTTTGGCCATTCACATTGTGTAACTAGAACACATCTTTCAATATAGTTATGTAATGCAAGTTGTAATTCTGATCTGAAAACATAAAAACGAAGTTCTGTTTTAATTGTTTGGTCATTCACATTGTGTAACTAGAACACATAAAAGTTTAAATAGATGGCACGAAGCAGGAAACATCAAAGAGATCTGCTTGAGAATAATTCCTGTAGATCTAAAGATCAGGATCTGGCCCTCACTGGAAATCCTAAGACTATATAAAGCAATCCTAGGTTTGCACAGGTGCTGTTAAAATGGTTGTGTCATATAGAGACAGAATATTGGATTTGCCCAGTTTGCTGGAATCTTTGCCATAAATTAGGTGGATTCCTGTTTATTTATGGTCTAAAATTGTTACTTGTATCATTGAATTAATTTGTTATTTTATTGAACAGTATGTCTTGGTTTTTTTGTTATAACCCCCTTGAGCCTAGAAGGCTGAATGGGGAGAAGCATGAATAGAATCATAGAATGAGAGAATCTTGAAGTTGGAAGGGGCCTATAAGGCCATCTAGTCTAAACCCCTGGCTCAGCACAGGAATACAAATCAAAAGAGATCTGACAGATGGTTGTCCAGCTTTCTCTTGAATGACTCCAGCGTTGCAGCACATATTTTAGAATATGCAATCCAAAATATGAAACAAAGCAAACCAGGTCTATAAGAATGGTACAGAGATATCACTGGATTCTCATATGCAGAAATCCAATTTAATTCAGTTTATGCCTGCTGCTTACAAACTTGGAAGTGTGGATTCCAGTGTTTCGAGGACTTTTGAAACAACTTTGCATGATTGTTTGTTTGTTTGCATTAATATATGGATGACAGCTGGCTTTCACTATTCTTTCCATTAAATCCCAGGAAAGTTATTTTAGTTCTAAATTAATGTCTGATGTTCATAGTGGACTGAATGAAGTTAACTACATTGAAGCTTAATTCAGAGAAGAAAAAAAGTGCTTCTAGTCCTTTGGAAAACAGACCAGGAGACAGGGATTCAATCTATGCTGGACAGGGCTACACTCTCCTTAGAGATTCAAGACTGGTTTGTTTTTATGTATTTAATGACATTTTGTGTATTACAAATAAACCTACAAACATGCTGTTAAATCCATTCTAACTTAACCGTATTTTCCCATGTATACAACCCTCCAATGTCTAAAGATGCCGGCCACAGAGACTGGCAAAACGTTAGGAAGAGCAACCTTCAGAACACGGCCAAAGAGCCCGAAAAACCCACAACAACCATTAGATCCCAGCCGTGAAAGCCTTCGAGAATGCATTTGAAGATAGTTTGCATGCTTGCCTGTATCGACTGTAGACTCCTGCAACATTTTCAGGCATGCTTCTTTATAGGTTAGGAAGCTAGCCTTTATTTTCTCAAAATTTCCTTTGACCTGCAAGTTAAGAAAATAACGCATATTAATCACTTGGTTATGTATGGTTTTATTTGCATGCCACCTTTCTTCCAATTAAGGGACCCAAGGCAGCTTATAAGTTATTTTAAAAAAACTATTTAACTAAAACCATGATAAAATATAACACTAAAAGGCAATTAAACATGTAGCAGTATTAAAACCATTTGTTAATGCTATCAACCCCCCCTTAAAACACAGTAAAAATACACATAAATAAAAATAGTGTCCAGCAGACAGGTTCCAAAACTGCCCAATGAGTCAGAGGCTTGTCTAAACAAAATTGTCTTCACCTGTAGCCAGAAGGATTAAAAGGAGGGGGTCTCAGAACCTCCTGATGGAGGGCATTCCACAACCTGTCCACAGCCGCAGAGAAAGCCCTCTCTTGTGTTCCCACTAGACATGGGGGCAAATATAAAAATGAATCAGGATACTGGTTAAATATCCCTGATTCATTAGATATTCGTTGCTTCATTCCAGAGACCCCAACGAATACAAAGCAATGAATATAACCCTTTTATACTCCTCCCCTTGTTCCCTGCTTATGCCCCCACAGATCAGCTGTTCCTTGGGGGCATAAGCAGAGAGGGGTTTTCCCTTGGGCAGCTTGCTAAAAGCTGCCTGGAGGGAATCCCACCCCCAGGGGCTGGGGGACGGCTTGGTTCCCATTCCTCCTCTTCCTGTGCCTGCGTGGCATAAGAAGAGGAGGGAAGGGATCAAAGAGTGATCAAAGGGATCCCCCAGCATCTGTGGGATCACTTTGATCCCTGCTTTCCTTCCTCTTGCTATGCCCTGCTGTGGGGCTTAGCAAGAGGAGGGGGAAAGGGATGAAAGTACTGCAAGATCCCTTTGATCCCTGCTTTCTCTCTTCTTGCTAAGCCCCGCAGGCTCAAAGTGCTGCAGGATTGCTTTGATCCCTGCTTTCCCTCATGACCCAACGAATGATTAATTGATTCATTATTCGTTGGGTCACTGGGGGGCAATACATGGTTCATGGGTCAACACATTTGAAGACTCACGAAGCAAGATGAAGCGCCATTTTGGTATATTGTCCCCATCTCTAGTTCCCACCAGATGTAAGGTTGCCAGATATCAGAAAAAAGGAGGACATGTCCTCCTTTTTAGACTAATATCCTCTGCCCGACAGGCAACCTTTAAAATGTCAGGCTTTTGTATATTTTATGTTATAATTTTGGATGAGAGGGGGAGAAGTGGAAGGACCCCCATCCCCCTGCCTTTCCCTGCCCCCACCCAT